AAATAAATAAAATAAAGACTATAAAAATAATCTAAAGCTAGCGTTTTTCTGATGCAGGCCCAAGTAAAAACGCCATAGGGCCTTCAGGTTGCGGTGACGCGACCTGGGGGCCCTATTCCAACCTCGGGTCCCGTGACGGGCCCGTGTGTAGGCTTTCAGCATGTAACACGCCCCCCTCCTTATGAAGACGAGCCGGGGCGCGGGCGAAGCTGCCGATCCGATGGCGGAATGTAGCGAGGAAGGCGAGGAAATGGAGTGCTCGGCGTAGTCTTCCCTTTGCTAAGATAACGTGAGAGAACGGCGGGAGCTGTGGCCTGCAGTTCCGAACTTGTCAACCAACGGTCAGCCTTGTGGCTGCAGTAGGAAAAGTGAAGTAGAAACTCTGTTTCTTTGTTGCCATGGCGCCGGTCGGTGATGATGCAGCCGGCCTCCTGAAATCCGTCCATGGAAGGAGGGTCTTGCGTACGTCGACCGGGAAACTCGTCGGACTCCGCTGAAWCAAACGGAGCGAGTTTGGAACAGTGGAACACCGTGTGGACGGGCAAGTGAGGTGGCACCGCGATGCGGAATGAAGGCCCCTCGGGATCATCACCAACTGCAGAGAGAATGCGCCAAGGCCCCATCCACTTGGGAAGGAGCTTGCGAGAGATGTCTGCTCAAGGCTGAACTCCGCGGCGGAGACCCAAACCAGGTCGCAGGCGCGGAACAGGCAAGGAAGGCGATTGCGGTTGGCTTGACGGATCATCCGTATTTGCATCTTTGACATCTGATCCCGTGTCTTGACAAGAAACTCTTGCATGCGAGGAAGGAACGCAAGATGGTCGTCGCTCTCGGCTGTGCGCGGCAAAGTGGCGTCCAGCGGCGATGAGATGGGTGAACCATGCTCAAACTCGAATGGCGACATCCCGATAGTCGGATGGATCGATGAGTTGTAAGCCAACTCGACACTGGCAAGCGCTCAACCCAATCAACCTGGTCGGGACGGATGAGAATGCGTAGAAGGACTTGAGCGGTCTGATGCGCCCTTTCCGTTTGACCATCGGTTTGCGGGTGGCGAGCTGAACTCGGCTTCAAAGATGAGCCCCATCGCTTGACGAGGGCGACCCAAAAGTCGGAGAGAAAGCGAGTGTCCCGGTCGCAAACGATCTCCTTGGGGTAGCCCTTGGAGCGAATCCAACCGGTGTATAAGACCTCGGCTAACTCCGGTGCCTTTGCGTGATAGCGGCAAGGCAAAAACATGGCGTATTTGGTGAGGCGGTCGACGACCGTGAGGATCCCATCAACGCCGGTCTTGTGCTTCGGGAAGGGGCCGGTGATATCCATCGCAATTGCTTCCGTCGCCCAAGGGGCACTGGTAGTGGGTGTAGCTCCCCGAACGGACGATGGTTGCGTGACTTACAAACCGACAAACTTCGCACGACTCACAATAGCGGGTGGCATCCTTGAGAAGGTCGGGCCAATAGAACCGCTGGCGAAGTCGGCCAAGTGTATGGTTGACACCAAAATGTCCGGAGGCGGGCGCATCATGAAACTCGCCAAGAAGCCGTGTGCGCAAGTGTGAATCACTCGGCACACAAAGAAGATCCTTACCCCGTGAATGCACAAGTAAGTAGACCCTCTTGGATCCGATAATGCGAAGGCACCGGATTCGGAGAGGAGCAATTCGCGCACTTGTCGCGAAAGTGGGGGTCGGCTTGATAGCCGCGGATGAAGCTCTCCCGCAAGTCGTCGTCGATCTCAAAGGTAGAGTAGACTGCGGTGCAAAGATCCGGTCGCCGTGAGAGGGCGTCCGCAAAACGGTTTGACTTCCCGGGAATGTGATCGGGGAAAAAGTCAAACTGGTCGATGAAAGCCATCCAACGGGCAATGGTACTGTTAATCGTGTCTTGCGACTTGTAGAATACCAACGGATTGTTATCC